CTCCGCAGCAGCGGCTAATGAAGAGCACAAGCAAGTTAAGCAACTGTGGTCATCTTTATGCTTCTGCAGCTCGCGAGAGACCCACTGAAACTGCAATCGTTCACTTCTTCCTCTTCCTCTCAGGATCGCGCACAAAACTCAATCGACTGACCAAATTCAAAGTCACATTGCGACTGACAGGTCAGTCATTCAGTCAGTCTTGGTGTCGAGCTCAATCTGGGGCTTATGACCAGATATTTATTACTGTTTGACAGTTACGGTCTTGTTATTGTGGGACGCCCTCTCTGACGAGAGGACGGGTCTGTATTCCGTTAGAGTTATTTTCTGCAGTAGTAAGTCATTTGTCATAATGTAAAGGACATTTACATTTTACATTTCAACATGTTAATAAATATGTATAAAATATATACTCGATTGGCCCAATTACTATCTTCCTTATAACACATTTGCACGGACCGAATAGAAAACACCGTTTACAACTCTACCTCGATTATTGCGTGCTTAACCGTTGCCAAGGGAGAGTGTTTACAGAGTCGTTGCCTAGAAACGGCTCTGATATATTTTATTATCACGTGGTCGTTGCATAGTAACGGTTGTTTCTCTGGCACAGCAGTTCCTGTTTTGAACAAATATGCCACAATAGTAATAATATTTGGCGAGGAACAGAAATTACAAATCTCGTCTTCATGCAGAATTCTGAAGCCCCTTATTCATTCATCTCTCTCATTTCCAAGTAGTCCTCTCGGCACCCTTTCCTCCACCACCTTCAATCCGCGTTCTTCCCTTCAAGTGAGAGATCAAGTTTCACACTCATACGAAGGTAAAACTATACTATGTTATATTCATAATGTGTATGTATTAACAGTCTCCAAGTGCATACAATCCCATTTAACACTTCTACACTACATGTTTCGACAGTATGCTGCCATCTTCAGGTGTATCGATACGGCAACTATTTAACAAATTTTAAATACATAAACTTTATTATTATATAAGGACGTATACAAATTTAATATTATTTATAAATGGACATATAAAGGCAAGCAGTGAAATAGTTTGATGAATCGATACTCCTGAAGATGGCAGCATACTGCCGAAACATGTAGTGTAAAAGTGGCAAATGGAATTGTATGCACTTGAAGACTGTTAATACATACACATTATGAATATGAATCAGTGCAACAGGACGCTAAAATACAACATTGCTATACTTTGTTATGTTTAGTCTTTGTACTGTCACGTGTCACAGTGATTGAGACGCGCGTTTGGATTGGTAATTGGATTTATTAATAACTTACAGGTCGTAACTATAATTAACTATTACACGATTGCTTCTTTACATAACGTACAGTCACTCCACAGGAGGAACGCAGTAGTGTAGTTGGTTGAAACACTCTGCTACAAGCCGCAAAATAGTGGGTTTGTATACCGACGAGGTCACTGTTTTTTTTTAATTGACCTAATTCTTCCATTCGCACTAAGACCCTGGGGTCGACTCAGCCCCTAACAGAAAGGAGTACCAAGAATCTTCCCAGGGGTAAAGGGCGGCCGGCGTGTAAGGCTGACAACCTCACCGCCATCTGTGAGCTGATTGTCTAGAGAAAATGTGAGAGCCTTGACCTCTCACAACCCTATGGGCCTCCACGGCCTGTGACAGGGAGAGCTTTGTCTTTACAATCACTCCACATTATCCTCTTCAGCCTATCTGCACTAGTCTTCACGGGTTTATAACATGGGAATTCTCAGTCCCACTGAGTCACACACTCCAAGTATTACACATAAATAAAAACTTCTAATCACATGTTAATCTTCGCAGTCCGACTCCTAATTCTTCTTCAATTACGAACTTCCCGTGGCTATTTCCTGCTTGCTTGTTCGCGTGCTTCTGCCGCTGTTGTTAGTCACTTGTAACTGCTTTACTTATATAGCCGAGGAACGGACATGGACCTACAGTAAACACATATCATGTGATAGCTATCCAGCCAGCCTGTTGCGCGTCAGTCGGATCTACAGAAAACATGTCACGTGATCGAAATCCACTGTTGTGACGTCACCGCTGACACGGAAAACACAGCTTCCTCTATTGTTGCGTAACCTAGCAACGGACTGTTTACCAAGAATCTGTATGTTTACCAACATATTGCCTAGCAATGGGTGTACATGTAACAATATTTTTAGACAGCAGAAGAGAAGACAATTTTATGGACTGAATGACAGGAAGCATTCCCCGAATTTAACCTGTTCTTGACTTATTAAAGGATGCAGTTTTATTCTATATGATTGACACAACGGTGATTATGAAGATTTCTGTCTTCTGGGATTTAGGGGAGATCTGCATGACCTTATAGCCTAGACAACAGAAATCTTCAGTTCGATTCTTTTAGTGTCGTTGCCAAACATTTTTACATTGCTACACCTTCAAAAGGTCTATTAGCTATCTTTATGTCATGACTTCGCTCTACGTTCTAGTTTTGCGGCACCAACGTATACTTATATTTTTATATGTTTACTTCTAGACCAACCTCCTTAATGAGTCAATTAGAGCTTAGCTGTACTATTAATATCGTGATATTCATTTAAACGTTACCGCAAAGGAATAACTGTAGCCATTTTGAATTTCATGCCTGGAATCAAATGTACCTAATATTGATCTGGAATTGATTAAATTAGCTTTTATATTGGTAATATTTTGTGACAGAGCACGTGAAATGTTGGATTAATTTATTCGTTTGTTTTACTTCATGGAATACTTGCGGGTTTTCATTAATTTAATAAACTGTCATGTATCTACCCTTACTGCTTATTTAATGAATAACTCAGTAACAGAAAGTCAGGAGAATACACACAGAATTTACTGTGAGTGGACTACATACGGGACTCAACAAAGGGAAGGATTCGTCCCATGTACAACAGGACAGTGTGTGCACTTTGAATAATGATATTGATTCTTCGTCATTCGTACAACTTCTGTACGCTGATTGAACCCACAGAGATCACTGAATAAAATGATATTTGAAAATGTCATTTTACGTTGCTTAAAATAATTGTACCTTTTACGTTATTAACTTAAAAAATAATTTTAATTAAATATAAAGAAACTGAAACCACAGAGGCACTTGTATTCATTTGGGCGAAAAATCTTAAATATATTATTAATAATAAAGGTTTTATACAAAATTTGTTAAAGGAAATTCGTTTTATTTTGTAAATTAGAAAGTTTTGGGTAAATAATATTTTCCTGACATGCCTACAGAAATGAAATAAACTAAGAATACAGATTTTCCTACTCTTACGAGTATTTGCATTACGAAATTTTGCTCATATACAGGATGTCCCAGGAGGGATGGACCAAACTTCGGGAGGGTGTTCCTTATGTTAAGGTATGCCGATATAACCCAAAACACCTATATCCAAAGTTGAACGGTTACGGAGATAATGGCCAGAGAAATGTCAAGCTTTGACCGGCGTTGCACACTTGTTGATTATAAAATACATATTAAAACTGGCAGGAATATGTGGATTCTGTAATGTTAATAATGTACGTAACATCAAACTAACTTGTGAGTGACATGAAGCCATAAAATTGAAGTACAAAATACTCGCTCGCCATGTCATAATTGTCCTTAGGGTTTCCAAGCACTATACATGACACATGAATGGCAAGCGCTGACGTAACGTGCTGACTGCGCGTTCTGATAAAGCCAACTACATAAGCACGGCTAGGGTGAATCATCGCACTCAAGGACAAACAGAGATAAGGCCTCTCAGCTGACAGGTACAGTGCGTGGACCCGCCAGAAGACCACACTTTTCTTGGGCCATTATCTCCGTAACCGTTCAACTTTGGACATAGGTGTTTTGGGTTATATCGGCATACTTTAACATAAGGAACACCCTCCCGAAGTCTGGTCCATTCCTCCTGGGACACCCTGTATATGCCTTTACTCAAGTTCATATACCTAGAACTCGCTCATCCGAAATGCCCTCTGAACCGAAACCATAATTTTTCCTTTAATTCCGATAAAATAAACTTCAATTCAAATCAGTACCCTTGAACCAATTAAACCAAAAAGTTGTTTATTATATGCATTTCTGTTAACAATTTCAGGGTCTTCAATGTTTGGAGAATAATATTTCCAAAGTTTATAAATTTCGGTTCAAATAATAAAACCGATTATTTATTGTTTCTCTTTTCATGCTTCTTTGCTTGTCCTGGAACGTAACTTACAAATACATGATTGCGCCTATAGGAAATAGTAATTGGCATTACGAAATTTCGCTTTACGACCTCTCTTCACAAACATGAATATGTGTATTCTTAAGAGGTGGCACAGGTGGAAAAGCGTAACAGAGATCCAAAGAGACGCGGTGGAGTCGGTGAAAGCATTGCATTACCTAATCCATAAATACATGTCTGTCACGCAATAAACAAAGCAATACTGCGGACGTAGTATGACCGATACACGACAGATGGTGACCCTACTCTTTCTTAGTACTCCTACAGTACAATCTAGCGGTAGGAGATATAATTATATTAACTGTAATACAATTTATAACAACTTTAGTTTGATGCGCGCGACTTTTCGATCTCCCTGTACAAGACTAAAGTAAAGTAGAGTTAGATTGTTCCATGAGGTTAATTAATTAAACACGATGCTATGAAAAAGCATCAGGGAGTGGAGATGTAGCTCCACCATCCTTGACTACGGCATTAGTTGAAGGTGCTCAGGGTGCTTTAGTCCCGCGTAGAGATCCTCCAGTACCAATTGGATAGGTGGCTAGGAAGGCGACAGAGGAATATTTTACCCCTAACGGGAAAGGAACCCCGGCCGTCCAACCCACAGCCTGTCCTTCTACAGACTGAGCTATTCCGGCTTCACAAATACAATACAAAGGAAATAAAAAGAAAACATAGGATCGGGAACTTCCACTGCAGGTGTTCTGAAGAGGAATGTTGAACATTCTAATTGGAGGGAAATCTCTGAAGAAAGTGTAACTTACCTGCAGTAGTAACGATATAGCAACAATGCCTTGCGCCCGATGCAGTGCTTCGGAGAAATTGGAATAAAGCTGGGCATTGAAGCCGAACACTTGGATCTGGAACAAGGAGAGGAACAGAACTTCAAGTTGGCAGCAATGATCTCTGTAGCTATATTTTTGTCTAGAATAAACTGAGATGAACAACTACACAGGCCCACACACATAACTAACTCCATAAAGCTGAGTTCTTTTTGAGAAGCTGCCAGGTTTGCAGCCATTCTGTAACCGCACCATGCAGGGACCTCGGGAAGGNCACAGGAGCCCTGTACTGGTCCCTATCCTAAGCCAGATCTAGCCAATCCATCCCATCCCATCCTATATCTCTAAGATCCATTTTAATATTTTCCACCCGCCTTGGCCTTCCAAGTGGTCTCTTTCCTTCTGGATTTCCCACCATTATCCTATGTGCATTCCTCTTCTCCCCTTTCGTGCTACATGCCCTGCCCACCTCATCCTCATTGACTTGATCATTCTAATTATACTTGGCGAAGAGTACAAGTTATGAAGCTCCTCGTTATGCAGTTTTCTCCAACCTGCTGTCACTTCATCTCTCTTCGGTCCAAATATTCTCCTCAGTATCCTGTTTTCAAACACCCTTAGTCCATGTTCATCTCTTAATGTCAGAGACCACGTTTCATACTCATAAAGAACCACAGGCAAAATTATAATTTTTATATTCTAATTTATGTATTTATGGAGAGCAGATAAGACAAGACGTCATAAAATGCTGCGAAGTTTCTGAATAGCTGTACAATTGGAGGCTTCTCAAGAAGCTCTCTACTCTATGAAACTAGTTAGTTAGTTAATTAGGCAGTTAGTTCTTCGGACAGTCAATCACTTGGTTAGTTAATTAGAAAGTTAACTGCTTTGGTAATTATTTAGTCACTTAGTAAGTCATACCAAAGCGGCCTCCGTAGTCTAGGGGTAACGTTCCCACCTCATGACCCAAGGTACGCGGTACGCCTCCGGGAGATGGGGAAGTATCAGGTACCACTGCCAGTAGAGGGGCCGAACTCGCTGGCTGAACGGGGCTTATAGCCAGCACCAGTACCGGAAGGGTATGGCGATTGGTAGAATATCATAGGGGGAAGTACAATAGATCAACAACTGGTCCCGGTGCATGGGGAAACCCACCCCCTCCAATAATGAATGAAGTCATACCAATACAAACTTAGGCAGTTTATTAATATGGATTCAGCAAATAAGTGGACATAAAGTAAACATTAAAAAAAGAAATACCCTTAGGTCCATTTCTGCAAAAATTCAGGAGTAATATCGGACTTATAAACATGTGTGTGAAGACAACGTCTCATATCCGGGTAGCAGGAAAGAATATGTTTGTTATCAAGTTGTTCCTTTCTGCAAAGGAGGCGCGCGGGTTTATGCGCATGCGCAATCTACTCCATGAATACCGATCCGTTAAGACATCTTCTTTACGTTTCTTGAGGATTTTGTACTTTCTTCAAAACAAACAAAGAAAGGCGGAAGAAATGTAAACATTTCAAACCCCCTTTTACGTAAATAAAAAAAGATACATTTTTGCTGTGGGGTTCACTGTACGCTGGCATCAGTAGAAATCTGAAAAAAAGAAATGAGCAAGCTTCAAGAGACCGGGGAACCATTTCTAGCTTGGGTTCCAAATTTTGTTTTGTGGGTAATTTTACAAAGCTACCAGTGGCTCAACTATAAAGCCTGGAGTTATAGGGTTACTAATGCATGATGAACGGGAAAGGGTTTGGAAGGAAGCGTCATGGCCTGATTGAGGTATTATCCTAACATTCATATAGAGAGACTGGGAAAAAGCAAAGGGGAAGCTCGGTCAGCATAGCAGGTGTCGAAGCTTGGTTTCAAACCAAGCACCTCCTGGATATTATAACTTCTCCTGTTCCAAAATTTCATCACCGTCTTCTAGGATCTGACGCCGGTTAGTCTGGTAGATATATTTCCTCTGTGGTTTACTCTTCTGTCCTAAAAATGGAGGAAGAAAGCTCCTTGGAATCGTCAGTAAATATCGGAATACACTGCGTCACATCTGAGAAGACGTGGTCTTCATAGTCATCACCGTGACAGCCTCACTTTTAACATAGGAAGCTACTTTTAGGACAAGATGTTATGAGCGTCGTTAAACAACTCAACATTCGTTGCTAGGAGATAAGTAATTCCACGGTCCAAGCTCTTCAGAAGCTAACACACTCAGCTAATGACGCCACCCTCTGCCTCTTGTTGATCCTAATAGTTCTTAATGTTCTCAAAAGAGCGCGCCACTGGTCTTCATGTAGGCTACATTCAGAAATCTTCCATACCAAAGAGAAGAAGCATGGGAACTTAACATCCATTTGTAGTCAATATATTTTCTCGATTTATTATAATAAAAATGTAAAGGATTTGATTACGTTCTTTTCTCAGTAGTAGGCTATGCTGTGTTCTCTCGAGGGTTTCCTTAATCACGTTACATCTTAAAATAGGCTGCGACCACTGATACATTTCCCTCAAGCATGACAATCTTACCACTTGACCCCGTGTAACCACTACAGTTGAGTTCTATCGAACTATGAATCTACAGTCCATCTACAGTCCTTTGTTGGATCTAACCGATTTTTCAGTTTCTCGATCATATACACAGTCGATAGGACTCCTTGGACAGAATTAACGCACATAGACATCCATGCATCGAGTGGGAATCGAACCCATGATCCCAATGTTTGAGGTGACTAAGACGGCTCATGCCTTAGACCACGAGGCCACTGTGATCGGCCTTCAGTTGAGATTGTAAGCTGAAATAAAGAAATATTTATAAAAACATTCTCTTCCTTCAGAAACTATTTAGGTTATAAAACCGTGTAGTCTGGTAGGTGTTCACCAACGTTTCAGATCAACATAATGCATCTACTTTTACCCTGATGATGGAGGCAGTGAAGAGAGAACCTCATATATCTAGGTTACATTCTGAAGACACGTGTCTTCTCTTATATGACGCTGTGTAGTTTGGTAAATAGAAACGTTTCGGAGAACCTCATGTATTTATCTTCAAAGTCGTCTACGGGGACGCTATCATGAGAAAAGTCAACAGATTCGAAACCATTAGAATCAAGAAAGCCAAGGTCATAAGTTGTCTCTCCACTCTTCTTCCCTGAAGATGTAAGCAGTAAGACCCTCCGAAACCCTGATAGACGTATGTACCTACCGAACTACACCGTGTCACATTCAACGAGACATGATTCTTATTCGCGTTTTTACTTCAAAAGTTAGGCGCAATTTGATAAATGATCGAAAACATTAAAATTCTCCTTCAAAGCAACTGTACGTAATATATTCCAGCAGAGCTCCCTCTTTTCTGCTTTTATTCATAGTGAATGAATTTTCCCCTATCCCCGTTTTGTCTGACCTGTCAAAAAAAGTTTACGCGGGGTTTTAAAATCAAGATGGATGCGCCATTGTTAGCTGCTTTATACAGAACGGATAGGCAAGTCGCTGTACTCGTTTCTACACAAGTTCATCATACAAATCGTGTGTTTCCTCAATCCGTCAATTCGCGTGCTACCAGACCACTCCGTCACACAACTTCATCAATTCTCACGCCAAGTAAATATTATCATATTTCTGCTACACCTCAGCTACTTGAATCCTTTTTGCTCCAAAGCAGAATCGTAGTTCAAATGTTTCGAGTTACCGCTCTGTTAACACGTATCTTCAAAATGAAACGTTCAGCGCTTCTCGGATTGTTAAATGCACACAAGTACATAGAAGAGTAATACATTTTGAACAAACGCTCCACAAGGATTCGAAAGAACGTAAAATGTGTGAAAGTAGGCCCATTCGCTTAGTGGGGGGTGGAGTCGAACTGGGTTCACTCGGCACGGCGGCCACTGATTGGCCTACTGTAGCCTGCCCCGGGTGATTAGGTTGATGGAGAATTTAGTGGAATGAAGATTGGCAGGGGAAACCGAAGTACTCGGAGAAAACCCGCCTCAGCGCCACTTTGATCATCACAAATCCCACTTGACCAGACCCTGGATCGAACCCGGGCCACTGTAGTGGGAAGCCAGCGACTAACCGCTTTAGCTATGGCGCGGCCTAAAGTAGGCCTGTACTCCACTGGAGTACATACGTATAGTTTACAAGTTTGCCTACCTACATCATTAAGGGGCCGATCAGGGTAGCATGAAGTGTCTTCACTCGCTTGAACCCTGGGATCGTGGGTTCCAATCCCACTCGAGACATGGATACCTGCATGCGTTTGTTTTGTTTTTGTGTTGCCCTGTGTGTAGGTATCGGCCTTTGGAAGGGCTGATCCCCCGTCAAAGGAGTCCTACCGACTGCGTATAGGATCAAGAAAGTGAAAAAGCGGCCAAGACCCAACAAAGCGTTGTAGAGCCATAATTCAATTCAATTTTTCTTTTTTCCTTGGCACTACAGCCCTAGTGGGCCTAAGCCTACCTCCATGAAATTCTCCGTTCAATTCGTTTTTTTTTTTTCTAGATCTTACACATTCGGTAGGACTCTTTGGGCGGGTGATCAGCTTGTCGCAAGGCCTCTACCTGTACACAAACACAGAAAAACGCACACACACACAAACTAAACATCCATGCCCTGAGTGAGATTCGAACACACGATCCCGGTTTCCAAGCGAGAGAAGACAGTGCATGCCTTAGACCGCTCGGCTACCGTGGCCGGCTCAATTCAATTCTTTATTATATATATACGAGTATGTGCCGAGTCAACAGCCGCAAGGCCAATTATAGGCAGAGCAGTGTAGATACAAGTAATTACATTACGGACAAACACAACATAAAGTCAAAGACAAATTACAGGCAAGCACTGGAAGGAAAACACATTAATGCAGACAAGTAAATAAACAATAATAATAATAATAATAATAATAATAATAATAATAGCATTATTAAGGGATCGAGGAATACAACGAAAGCCTCATTCAGGCTAGCGTGAGTCCCGACCGAGATTTTCAAATACAAATGTACAGATTTGCCGGCTACACCAACCAGTTCAGTAGGAAGAATATATGGAGTCATACCTCCACTCTCCCACACGTTCTTAAC